GGAATATCAATTTCGGAATATCCGTTAAAGCCTTTACATATATTATGTATGTAATAATTCTACTCTAATGAGAGACTGGCTCAGTTCCAAGCGCTCCCATGTGTCTGCATTTTGATATAATAAATTGAGTTATTACTATAACACACTGGCTGCTTGCTACTTTGCTTTATTTTACTTCGTACCTCTTTTTAACCGACTTCCAAAAAGGAGGAGGTTCTCAAATCGTCGGAATATTTGTTTTTTTTTAATTTATGTTCACCGATTACTCGAAGACGCCTGAACCGATTTGGAATTTTTTTTTGTTTCGAAGGGTATACTTCCCAGGTGGTCCCATTTAAATTTTATCGAAATCGGTCAAGCGGTTTTTAAAAAAATCAACAAATAAATTATTTTTTTTAAATAAATTGCTTAATCGAATATATTATTAAAAATCTTTCTTCGTACAAATTACCTGTTTATTGCGTCTATCCTAAATATGGAAATATAAAAAAATAAAAAAAAACCGACTTCCAGGCACTAAAATGTAAAAAATAACTAAACGGGGGTTTTCATTACCTATCAGATATTTTCGAAGTCAGTGCCAGCCGACAAAGCTTTTGCTTTTTTTTAACTACTTTTTGCTTTGTCTTGTTCTTTTTGTTTACAAATTTGGTCGTTTATAGGTACGTCGATAGGTAATAGCCTATATAATATATGTTATTATGTAGATCTAGGGCAAAATCACTTTGAAAATAATTACATTGTCAGAATTTTCTAAAATACTAATTAATTTAATATTACATTCTTTTGGATGACACGTTTGGCTCAGTTATTGTAGTCACCCTACTTACAGTTCGAGTCCCGCTGGGGACATTTATTTGTATGATGAGCACGAATGTTTGTACTCCAGTCACGGGTGTTTATATTTATAATATGTACCTATGTATTTAAAGTTATATATATATATATATATATATATATATATATATATACTCGTAGCTTACCATGTAACTAGATGGTGCTGCGTATTAATGTCCTAGAATATTTATTTATTTGATATTGACCCAGCATAAACATACCTATATAATATATATTAATATGCTGTATCACGAAACCTCGTAAATAGAATCACCGGAATAGTTAGGAGTTTTATAACAAAAGTAAAAAGCAACGAGAAAACAAAATCGTGTTAAAAATAAAGGTTGAAAAGAAATAATATGATGAATAAGTGGATTTCTGAGCTCCTGTATTTGCTGCTAGCGCAAAATACGGAGGGCGTTTACACGAATCCAACACGATGAAAAAATCACAGTATTATTCATGGTTGTTAATTATACTACTTTTATTAAAAGATAAAAAATATATTATATATGTAGGTAAATAAACAGACAAAAAATGTCCTAATCAATGTAAATATTTTTCTGAAGTGTTTTATACCACTAACAAAAGTGCATTGAATTATAGAACTAAGTGAAACATAATTAAAAACTACGAAATTTTCACAAAGATTTTTTAACTCCAGTGTATGTTCTTTATATTCTACAAATATCATAAATGTAAAATTGTGTTTTTCCGTGCGCTATAAGTGAGTGGGTAGGAGCTGAACATGTTTGAAGTTGTTTGAAGTTTGGCTAATACAATATTTGATTGGATAAGCAGTGGTAGCCCAGTGGTAACGCGCTCGCTTGGGAAACCGAGTGAAGCGGGTTCAAATCCCGGGTCTCGCGCCTCTGATATTTTCATGTGGGAATCATTTTTAATATGATTACCACTTGCCTTACGGTGAAGAAAAACATCGTGAGGAAACCTACATGTCTGAGAAAACCTAGCAAGGTTTCGAAAGACATGTGAAGTCCCCCAATCCGCACTTGGCCAGCGTGGTGAACTATGGCCTGATCCCCCTCGTATGAAGGGAGGCCCGTGCTCAGCAGTGGGACGTTAAAAGGGCTGAACACAATATTTGATAAAATTAAAAATGTAATCTTCATGTATAACTTGGCCTAAAATTTATATTTAAAACACCACAATACTAAAATCAAAATAAATCCGCGAAAAAAAATCCAAAAGATTAAGATACCATGTGAACGGGTTACAGTCCGACATACGTCAAGAATGAAACTATAGCTGTAATTCGCTTTTATTTCGAATTCGGTCTCTATTCGTATTTCTGTATCAGCTTCAACTTCACATATGAAATTCGTTTTAGGTATAAATCTTTATGAAGAAATGAATTTTTTATAGTTCTTTGAATAACAATTTTATTTATAGCTTAAACATTTTACTTTTTAATACGCCATTTTGACATTATTTTGACAGTTCTATTATATTTACCTCTCTAGACTTAAATGTTTATTAGCCCTTGTGTTTAGCCCATTTATTAAAAAAAATGTTAAATGTATCGTAGATTATAAAATCAAATTATAATATAGTTCTCATTATTTATGTATTTCCATTTTCAATCATTGTGCCATTTTTGTATCGAGTAATTATCTTTTTATTGTTGTAGGTTACTCCAGTAGACCGATCATTTATTCATAGTTTTAATTCCACGTTAAAACTGCTTTACCGCTCTAACTCATTCGTGTCTTCCTCACAATACGTAACACTGGCAGAATGTATTGCGTCTGTTAACGCAACTCTAAGCCATTAAAGAAAAAAAAGGAAAAAAAAAGAGTGTCATAGAACTAAACATGAAGCCAAACAACAATGTTTTAAATTGTATACAAATGACAACTTGTATACAGACAGCAGATTAAGATAAGTTAATAAATGTTAATAAATAAAAATATGTAACAGATTTTATTTTAATAAAAAAATATATCTAGTATTATGCTACCTCTCCCTTAAGGGAAAGAGAACTAATGCTTCAAAATTAAAATACAAAAGTATATAATATTATGTTTATTTTTCATATTTTATTATCAAAAATTGTATATTAATTTAAGTAATACATATATACGTATTAGTTAATCTCTATATACATATAAAAGGCAAAAGTGATTGACTGATGTATCAACGCACAGGCCAAACCCTTAAGGTTAGAAAATTGAAATTTCGCACACGTATTCCTCATATGACGAAGGTATCCACTAAGGAACGATTTTTCAAAATTCAACCCCCAAGGGGGTGAAATAGGGGATAAAAGTTTGTATGAAACTTTTTATTCCTTATATTAATATTTACATGAAATTTCGTATGAATTGAGTACGGCAAAAATAATGAGTTATGTATTTCTGTGTTACCAAAATTCAACCCCTAGGAGGGTAAAATAGGGGATGAAAGTTTGTATGAAACTTTCCTTTTTAGAGATTTTGAAGCCGCTGGTTCTACTAGTTTATTTTATTCTTTAAAGAAAGTAAGCGACCTGTATGACAAAATCGAGAATAGTAGCCATAAACAGACGTTTACTTTTGCGGGCGCCGTTTATATAATTCTTTAGTAAACCCACACATAACTGTAGGATAACTAGAATATAAAAAAAACCTTGAGCAATTACATTCCAATGATTATATTTAGAAATATACACGAAATGCACGAGCATTCTTCAAATGGTACCTTTGGTTGTGGAATTTAATTTCATCATTCTACGAAAAAATATATCAAGATACAGATATTTATATTACAAAATAATTGTCTCCCAGTCGGTTGGTCTGTTTCTTTTTACGTGAAACCTTTTTAAAATCACACCGAAACACAGGCAGGAAGAGTTGCATTAGATTGCCATATTAACTGTTGTTATTGTCTGAAAAATGATATATAATACTAGTATTGCCCGTGGCTCCGCCCGCGTTCAGATGACCAAAAACCCAATTCTTAGGTTTTACATAATATTAGTATAGGTATACTCTTACATTGTAGTTTTTGTATTTTTTCTCAAAAACGAGATATTTTCACGCGGTAAAAAGTATCGCGGTAAGTAGTATATATATATTATTAAAATCCCTCCAGTAGTTTTTATGTGATGCGGTAACAGACAGACAGACAAAAATTCTAAAAACTATATATTCGGCCTGTGTATCGATAATAATGTTTATTTCAATAAGATTTTCCAAGAAACATTTAATGTACAGATTCGGCTTAGTTACAATTTTATTATATGTATAGATTAAACCGGCGAGAGAATGTATTCCACATTATTTTGTTGCCATGTTAACCGTTGTTATTGTCATCATACAGGAAGTGAAAAATAAAATTAATACTGATTAATTTGTAATGTATATTTATGTTAAATAAAATGCACAATAGCGTGTATTCTCGTGAATTCTCGTGGGTTACTTTTCTGAAGTTTCACTTCTACCGTGTATTAATTGCACACACATACACTTTTTTTTATAATCTGCGGAAAACACTAATGCAATTTCCAGATGTTTGTGTCAAAATTCCCGCTCTTTTTATTTTTTTAATACATTCCTATCACCCAAATTAGCATAAACAAAATAATTTATGCCAATTATTCAAATCTGAAAACTAAAAAATCTGTCATACTGTAATAAAAGAATAATAAGCTTTAATCTTTATTATCCCTATTTTACAGGTCAAGATACCAATATGTATAACTTTCTTCTAATTTTTGTTTATTTTAAATTCTCATTTTTTAAATTAATTCTGTGATGGATGGCTGAATGAAATATATCCATACAGTTTAAATTAAAATCCAACACGGGACTTGGCAACTGACAGCGCGTAATGGCTCTTTGATAGGGACGCGAAAAACAAGTGATTGTTAAATAAAAGCTTTGAATAAGTAATTTGTTAACTTCCGAAAACAACTTTCATCGCGTTTATCTTTGTCTGTTTTAATATAAAACTGATTTTGATCGCCTTTAGAGCTTGATTATAACTGATTGTTATTTTAAGTATATTAAGTATAAATATTGTGTCATCCATTATGATGATGTTCTCCTAGCCGATTCCGGCTACGGAGACCAATCTCATTGAGACTAGCCAACTGCGCAGGAGATATTATAGGGCACAAATGTACGCGCAGACACAACGTGCACTTTCTATTCCTGTCACTCTCATACTCCGGTGGGACGACTGCTCGACACGACCGGTGAGAGTTGAGGCGCAGGACCGAAGGCTTTACGTGCTCTCCGAGACACGGCGGTAAAACACCGCCATCTGCCCAACTCCGGGCTGCTACTGAGACTTACTATACAGAAAGACTCAATAACTAAACCTGGCCCGACCCGGAACTCGAACCCAGGACCTCCGAGTGTGCAGCCGTACATGCTAGCCACTACACCACCGAGGCAGTTGTCATCCATTATACATGATCAGATACTATTTTTATATTTATATTATATTATGCTCATATCATTAAAGGAGTACCTGAGTGACCAAGCTTCGCTCAGTTTTATTATAATAAATTAATAAGCAAAACCTCGTCTAAATACAAAATTTGATCCAAATCGTTAAAGCCATTTCCGAGATACAGGAATCAAATTTATAAACAAGAATTAAATTTATATACGTACATATATACAAGAATGGGTCATATAATATTATAAGATGTAACATATATTGTTATGTAATAGATATTTTTAAATACATTTTTTTAATTAAGATTTTTTATTAATTATGCTTATTAAGCAGTAATTATTTTGTATTTTTAGGGATGGATAATAAATATACGGTATCGATATTAAAAAATATCAATATCCTATCCTAAAATAACGAATCCTTTGCTATATTTATAGTCATAATATACATAAATTACAACTTATGATAACAAAAATATTACTCAATACGATTTCATCTAAATTAAAAACAATAATTATTCCTCACAATATTACATTAGCAGGGTTAAGGTTATATACAAGAATTGCTCGTTTAAAGATATAAGATATATAATATAGTGACAGGCTTTAATTGGGTGTTTATTGTATTGAAATATATAGTACCTAAGCGAGACAATTTGACGTAAACTTTCAAAAATTCAAACTACCGCCATGAAATAGTATCAGAGAAAAAGTTAACATCAAAATTGTAACACCAAATTAGCACCTTTTTTCTTAAGTCGAAAAAAAAATAAGGACACACGAGGTTTACCAACTTTGAAAAAGATAAGTCACTATTAAATATAACTATTAGATTTTGAAGGTAAATTGTGTCATAAACAACTGACAAATCACTCCAATTCAAGCACAATTTATGTCCATTGAAAAGGTTTTTCCGGTTTGTAAATCTTGAAGAGGAGCAGTAATTTTCTATATTGTTAGCGTCCAGCCGCTGTCACATCGATTTGAACGCTAAATTACACTTTCAGAACTAAGTTCCAACAAAATTATGCCTTTGAAATCTTATTATAATTATAATATTATAACTATTCGCGTTTTAATCGTTTGTAATACATTTCGGTATGCTTAATTATTGTTTCACATTGCATGCCTATAAATAAAATTATCAATGTATAATTAAAATTTTACCGGTGGTAGGACTCTGTCAAGTCTGAGGAGTCCGACTGGATGGGCACCACCCCCTTATCTATTTCTCCCGCCAAGCAACAATGATTACATTGTTGTGTTCCGGTTTGAAGGATAAGGTAGCCAGCGCAATTATAGGCAAGAGGCATATCATCTTAGTCCTCACAGTGACAACGCACCTGCGTTTCTGTATTTTTGTAACATAGAACCTAAGTGCATGAACCGTAGGTGTTATGGGCGACAGGTACCGCTTTCCATCAGGTGGGCTGTCTGCTCGTTTGTCACTGAATACCATTAAAAAAATCGATATTTTATAGATTCAAATAATCTTTATAACCCATATAAGTATAGAAAAGTAATATTATAAATAAGAAAATAAGAAAGAAATGAGAAGTCAAAACAGATATCTTATTAAAATCTATACAAATAAATAAAATTGAAGTGTCTGTTTGTAATATCAAATAACTGCTTTTTACTAAATGCATATTTAAGATATAAACGGTATAAGAAAAAACAATTTTTATTTTTTTTGTCTGTCTGTCTGTTTGTTCCGGCTAAAGCAAAACCCTATCTAATGCAAAATATGATCCGGATCGTTAGAACCGTTTACGAGATACACGTAATGAAATATATTCATTCTCTCATTTAATATTATAAAATACCTACCTACTATCGTGACGTCAACTTACAATCCCAAAATTCCAATTTGAATTTATATTACGTATTGGAAACATGACATTTTCAGTAATAAAGCGTTTCTAGTACGGCAACAGAGACTACCATATCTTTTGCATCTTATATTTTATACCTATTGTTAAATGTTCACCTATAAATGTTTTGAGCAATATAATTGCTATTTACTACCGACTTATGTTCTTAGGGTCTAGGTACATCTTAATTTTTTGAGCGGAACCCTGATTCTGTTTCTAAAATAAAAGTAGCCTATGTTACTTCTTATAAAATCAGCTATCTGCCAATGAAAGTCCCGTCAAAATCAGTCCAGCCGTTTCGGATATTAGCCTGAACAAACACAAAAAAAAAGTGTTTTTGTTACGGTACTTATACCGTACATAATTACATATGCATTTAAAGTATAAATTTCGACATTACAAAAAGAAACTTTAATTTTATTTATCTGTATAGATTATGATATGGACAGCAAATAAAATATTTTATGTTTTTTTGGCATTTACTTGTATAGACAGGTAATTTATACAAAGTTTTTAAGCCATTAACAATGTAATAATACAAAACGGCATTTTAGAATAAACATATAATATTATTGTAATAGAAACCAACAAAAGCTCTAACATACCCGACAAACCACTATAAAACATACCGGGTAAAGTTTATCTTTCGACAAAACAAGCGAATCCATTGTAGCACGATTTCATACAATTAATATTTGAGTCTGAAAACATGGCACAAGAAAACCGGTTATGGCTGGATAGAGGCGGATAGAAACGGATAAAACCAGATAAACGGATAAGTCCTGCTGAGTTCACCTTCTGCCATTATAGAAATACCTTAAACCAACTGCATAGAGGCAATTTGAACAAATGCATTAAATGAGCTCTCTCTAAACTATATGCTTTAGGAAATAGAGTTGATTTTGCTGTAAATCTTGTATTTCTGGGGTCAATTCAGAAATGGATTAATTCACGTTCAAACAGTTTCTACGGTAGTGAATATAAAGCCTATTTTACTGCGTAATTATTTACAGAATATGAACAGGTATAGATCGCTACAATACAGGTAAAGTAGGGTTGCCACTTTTGGATTATTTTTAATAATATTTATTATTAAGTTAAATATTACTAAAATAAATATGAAATAATATGAATATGTAAAAAATTGTATGTTTATAATATTTGTTACAATTTTTTTTCATTTTTCATTTAATTTAAATTCTCTCATTTTGGATCAAATATCTCTCATACCAACAAAGTACAAGCCCTTGATATAGAGAGATATTAATTTTTAGATGTCAAATGAATATTTTAAATAATTATGTAAGATTACTTGTCAGTCTTCTTATTTAAATACTATAACAAACTTGGCAAAAAAGAAGATATATAAGATATATAAAATTGTAAATTATAACTCTATAAATAGTAAACTTCCACATTAATCCACGCTGAATCAACTTTAAGAGGTAATGCGTTTAGGATGAAGTTTTTTTTAATTTTATATTTATGTAATTATCACTAGTGGCATTCTAATTTTTTTATCAATTTAATAAAAGTTATCAGCCCTGCCCTAAATCTTCACCAGAACTAGATAAATATATTTATATAATACATAATTAATTAAAATATTAAAATCGATTTCATGAATTTTAAAATTTTTATTATTTGTAACAGGTGACATCCCTAGAAAAGCTTTGTCTGATGTAATTGATTTTCACTAACAGGAACTCGGACTTTGTATTACCTGTATTTAACTGCTTCGTTTCGATATCCCCAAACTTATTACATTTTGCGCCGCTTTAATTAAGTTTTCGACAAACGGTAATGAAAATTCATAGTTGTTCTGTAAAGAGTTGCTATTGTAAAGGATGCTTTTTGCACATATACGTATTTTTCTTTGTATATCAATTGGTAAATTTCGATTGGTTTGTATGTATATGGAAATATTTTTTATTAAATGTCAGCAATATGAGCTTTAATAATAATAATATACGTTTACTTCAGACAAGAAGTCCATAGAAATCATCAGTACACAGAAAACAGAAATAACATGCTACAAAATTATCATAGAAATAAGCAAAGAAAAATAAAAACATTTAACATTGAGATTAAGTAAATCATGTAAGTATATCAATATAAGGCATGTCGATCAGTCAATTTAAAAATAGCTTTAAAAGATGTATGGCAAATTTAAATAAGTAAATAGAATAACTTGGATAAATATATTATTAGTAAACAGTGGTAGGCCAGTGGTAACGCGCTCGTTTGGGAAACCAATTGAAGCGGGTTCAAATCCCGGGTCCCACACCTCTCATATTTTCATGTGCGAATCATTTCCAACATGATTACCACTTGTCTTACGGTAAAGGAAAACATCGTGAGGAAGCCTGCGTGTTTGTGAGAACCTAGCAAGTTTTTGAAAGATATGCTCAGTCAACCCGCACATCCCCAGCATGGTGGATTATGATCTAATCACCTTTGTATTGAAGGGAGGCAAGAGCCCAGCAGTAGGATGTTAAAAAGGGTTAAATAAAAGTACATTATTATGAAAAGATAAAACTTAACTAAATTACTAAATTAAGTTTATTAAATTAATTCTGATTTTTTTCCCACTCGAGAGAAGCTTTAGATAAATCCTTAATTATAATTTATATGGTTATTTACATCGTACCTTGTGATGCAAGAGAAGCCGCAGGACAATATTATTGCTATTAATAAGTATATAGATTAAAACGTTATGTCGTAGAGTGAGTTCGAATGTCTCTAATTAGCGAATCCTCGCTAATTTTCCTACTTAAAAAGACTTAAAAAGCTGTAAATAAATAAATATATTATAAAAATAAAAAACCCAACTGCATAAAAGCTAACTAAAAAGATGAAAACAAGTTCACGAAGGAATATAGTATTATGCAGTCGGACACATACATACGAGTGTGTATTTAATTGTATTAAGAGATATCGCCAATCCGGCAAGAAACCAACAAACAAACATACTTTCACATTTATAATATTAGTATGGAAGTAGTCCGATTACAGGAGGTAATATGAAAATGGTTGCTATTAACAACAAGTGAATTACTTGAACAAATGCTGAAATTTAGTATAAAAAAAAAATTTAAACCTCTTAAAAATCCGCTAAACTTTGCTAGAGCA